TAGCAATAGACTCAGTTGTCTATTCAAGTCTCAGTCTTAGTCTGAAGCTCGTCTTCAACCAGTATATGCTCTCAAACTGCTATCAGATATAGCGGCTCAGTTTAAAAGTCTAGTATCAGTGTAGGACAATAGCATGTATAAGTCCTAGTACAAGTTAACAATTGAACTCCTGATCCTCAGTTGTTAGGTCCCTTAACAGATCTATGCATACAACAAGAATGAAAGAACTGACCAGCGGTTTAACAGAACTTCCTACCAGTATTGTGCTGATTCATTGTACCCAAATAGGAAAAGAGATAAGACTATCCCTAACGCAACACCAATCCTAGCACCTATTGGAAGCAAAGACGATCATCATTCAGTAGTTCCCCCATTTGCAGAGAAGTCCTCTCCCACACCATCATACCTAACTCCTACTGCAGCATCATCCAGTAGAAGTGTAGTAGCTCCTACACCACGCACATCACCACTTCAGTTAACCACCAAACCCTTGCCAAGCGAGTCAACAAAGACCAGTCCTACACTCAGAGCAAGTTTCTTCTCAGGAATCTTCGACTCACCAGAACCAGTCAATCTACCAGTCCCAGCAGAGGAACAACACCCAGTTCCTGATCCACCAGAACCTAAACCAGAACCCTACAGACCTCCAGTCAATCCTACCCCAGAGGAAGAACCTACTGACAGACATCCGAACAACCCAGAAGATGGAGACCCAGAACCAAGTGATCAAGAAGACAAAGAAGATATGTCAGACAACAACAGCAGAGCAGTAAACAAGCCTAACCAATTTGAAGGAGACAAGGGAAAGAGCAAGGAATTCCTGGACAAATTATACCTACATTTTGAAGTGAACTCCAAGAAGATTCAGACCGATAAGGATAAGGTTCAATGTGCTCTTTCATATATCAAGGAACCTGCTCAATTGTTTGTCCACATGATCATCAATGACGCACAAGAACCCGTCTCTGACACCAAAAATGTGCCACTTAAAGGATTACCTAGCTGGGCTAGCTTCAGAAAGTCCTTTATCCAGACCTTTGGAGCAGAGGATGACACCCAGGCAGCATTGAATAAGATCAGCAAGTGCACCTGGGATAGGTGTGGAGGAAATGGCCTTCGATTCATTACTACTCTTCGACCTCTATTACAGGCCAGTGGGTTAAACGAATTAGGGCAAATCTGAGAACTCCAATGTCTCATCCCTCCTGCTCTTCTCCTCAAGATTGCTGCTCAGCCGCCGTTACCAGTTACTGCAATAGGATACCTAAACAGTGTTCAATCTATCTGTCAATCAATGATCAATATCTTTGGTGATAAACCCCTATTCATGACGTCTACTAATTGATCTTTTGGTCGCAACCGCAACAAGTTTGTATGTTGCAACTGAGCAATTGAAACCAGAGAAGAATGATCTAAGGATCAGCAGATCAGACAACTGTCAGACAAGGATCATAAAGAGCACATGGATAAGAAGTTATGTTTCAGATGTCACAAACCTGGACATCAGAGCCGCCAATGCCCAAACAACCACATCAGGGCCATTGAATCCCACAACACATCCACTCAGGAGAAGGATGAAACCAAGGATTCTTCCAATGAGGAAGGGACAGCTGAAGAATACATTCAGGCTATATCCTCCAAGAAGGATTTTTGAAGTCTTTGATTGCCGTGATGTCAAATCGAAGTAATGGCACTGAGGACTATTTATATCAGGTGAGATTAGCTCATAAATCTATTTATTTGCCTTGTATATTAAAAACCTATGCCAAAATCGTCACCACTGAGGCATTGCTCGACACAGGAACAATGGACAATTACATCAACATCCAGTTTGCTTGAGATCACAATCTCCAGCACCAGAGCATCACGCCTAGGCCAGTGTTTAATGTCAATGGGTCACCTAATAAAGCTGCAGCCATCAAACACAAAGTCTTCTTCACTATATCCTTATCAGGACAACCAATGAAGATAGAAGCTTACACCACAGCACTGGATAGGAACCCAATCATCCTAGGACTTTCCTGGTTCAAACGTTTCAATCCTGTCATTGACTAGATCACTGGAAAAATGCATTTTTGTTGGGATCAACTTCTGCAAGCAATCAAGACCCTTGCCAGTAACATTCCGGAATACTTAGAAAAATTTCTCTCCATATTCAACAAAAGTACAGCAGAGCGATTACCAGAATGGAAACCCTGGGACCACGCAATCAATCTGGAAGCTAACTTCAAACCCCAACGAGGAAAGGTTTATCCGTTATCACTGGCAAAGCTCAAAGAGTTAGACACCTTCATCAAGGAGAACTTATGGAAAGGCTACATTCATCCATCAAAGTCTCCTATGGCATCTCCATTTTTCTTTGTCAACAAGAAATCCAGAGATCTCTGATCATGCCAGGACTACAGGAAACTCAATGACGCCACCATCAAAAATGCCTATCCAATACCAAGAGTAGAAGACCTGCTAGATTGCGTCACCTCGGCCAAACCAACAATGTTCACCAAGCTTGATTTATGCGCAGGATATAACAATGTACGCATCAAGGAAGGCGATGAATGGAAAGGGGCATTTATCACCCCACAAGGGTTATTTGAACCAACTGTCATGTTCTTTGGGATGACAAACTCTCCAACAACCTTTCAAGCCATGATGGATGGCATCTTTGCCAATCTGTTACTAGAAGGATGGCTAGTAATCTACATTGACGACATCGTCATCTATTCCACCAATCACGCAAAGCATTGGCAATGCACTCAAATAGTTCTCCAATGGTTGAAAGAATCAGATCTGTTCCTCAAACCTGAGAAATGCTTCTTTGATGTATCAGAGGTCAAATTTCTAGGATTTATTCTCCAACCAAGGCAGATAGGGATGGCAGAAGATAAGGTATCAGCAGTACTAAATTGGCCAAAATTGACAGCATCAAAGCACTGCAATGGTTCCTAGGGTTCGCCAATTTCTATCACCGATTCATTCCAGGATACTCCAAAGTGGCACAACCCTTGTTTGATCTATTGGTTACAGGAATCAAGTGGAGCTGGACTGATGATCATGACAAAGCCATCAATCAACTCAAAGAATGTTTCAAAACACGACCACTTTTGGTTCAACCTGATGTCACCAAACCCTTCAGAATAAAATCTGACACTTCCCTGAAAGCGTCTGGTGGAATCCTATCTCAGAAACAGTCCAATAGGAGATGGCATCCATGTGCCTTCCTATCCTAGTCATTCTCTCCCATAGAACAATGGTACGAGATCTATGATCGAGAACTCTTGGCAATCATCAGATGTCTCAAAGCCTGGCAACACTATATTGAAGGATGCACCAAACCAGTGGAAGTATTAATGGACCATATAAATCTGATGTATTTCAAAGACCCCCAGAAATTGAATCTGTGACAAGCGCAATGGGTGCTGTATCTATCCATGTTTAATTACTGCCTTCGCCACATTCCAGGCACTCGCTTAGGCAAAGCAGATGCACTATCATGTATTGATCAAGATGCGTCTGAAGGGGGGGGTGAACTTCCTGAGGAAGAAGTCCTTCTTCCATCAGAAGTCTTCATTCAAGCCATTCAGAACCTTGAACCCATCAACACAGACATCAAACAACACATCTTGACCTACAAAACAAAGGACAGCATCGCTGATCACAGACTTTGGCTGGCATTACAATACACTTCATCCACAGACAAGCGTACTCCTCCTAACTGGGACATTCAGGACGACTTTGCTGGTATTCCGGGGACGAGTCTACATACCCAAGGACACCAAACTTCGACAGGATCTCATCCAGGAAGCTCACGATTCCCCCACCACAGGACATCCTGGATGATACAAGACACAGGAGATCCTGCAAAGAACCTATTGGTGGCCCACTCTTGCATGCGACGTCAGTGAATACGTCACTGGTTGTGCAACTTGCCAAGAAAACAAGGTCATCACACATAGGAACTCACCGGATCTAGTACCTATCATGACAGAACATCATCTTCCATTCCAATCCATCACCATGGACTTCATCACGGATCTACCCTGGAGCAATGACTTTGACAGTTGTCTGGTGGTTACTGATCACAACTATACCAAGGCTTCAGTATTCATACCCTGCAACAAGACAGTCACAGCATCCAAGACAGCTACCCTGTATCAGAACCACGTTTTCCGACAGTTTGGACTACCTGTCAAAGCTATCTCTGATAGAGGACCACAGTTTGCATCACAAATGTTCAGGGAACTGTGCACCAAATTAGGCATCAAACAGAACATATCTAGCACCTTCCATCCCCAGACTGATGGACAGCCAGAGCATGTCAACCAAGACTTGGAATTGTATCTTCGGATCTTCTGTAATCACCGAGCAATGGACTGGACAAATCACTTGCCACTAGCAGAATTTGCACACAACAATAGGTATCATGATATGATCAAAACGTCTCCCTTTCAAGTGCTCATGGGTTACCAACCTTGGCATAATATTCCCACTATGGGAACAACTGATGCTCCAGATATCACTTCCAGACTCACTCAATTGGCACATCTTTGTACAGAAATCCAGTCTAGTATCCAATTAGCAGGGGAAACAGTCAAGAAACGGAATAAGGACAAGTTTGTTGAATACACACCCAGACAGAAGGTATGGCTGGAAGCCACTAATCTCAAAGGCCTTCATCCAAAAGCCAAACTTGGACCAAAACACTATGGACCCTTCACTATCATTCAGAAAATGTCACTGGTGGTTTATCGGCTGAGACTACCGCCTAAATGGAAGATTCATCCTGTTTTCCATGCAGGATTACTCTATCCTTATTCAGAAACAACAATGCACAGAAAGAACTATCTCTGACCTCCACCAGAACTAATCAAGAACCAGGAGGAGTTTGAAATTGAACATATCATTGATTCAAAGACGGTTGGCAAGCGAACACTGTACCGGGTAAGATGGAAAGGATACCCGGCCTCGGACGACTCCTGGCTGCCAAAGCCCGAACTATCACATGCAAAGGATGCTTTGGCTGACTTCCTACAGCCAAACAAAGGATAACTCCTTATAAGAGCTACCTTTCCCCATCTCTGCAATGGCATCCACCACTATCCTCACCACACTCCTCATCCTTACCTGGTTCCTCATCGCCTTCCTCATCCTTGTCCTCACCCTCGCCTTTTTCCATTTCAAAGAGACCTACAAAGTCGAGGTCATCCTCACCTGCCAACCCACAACCCCCATTGCCGACCTCACCCCTGAGTGGCCCTCCAATGGAGTACAAGTAACATCTCCAACCCTACTCACTCCCAATCCATTTACTGATCTTCTTAGTGGTGAACCAACTTGCCCCCATCACCACTGCCATTGCCGTCATCATCGACAACCACCACCACCTCCTCCTCCTCGCCCTCCTCAGCCTTCTCCTAACCACCATCCTTGCCCTCCTTGCTCTCGCACTCCTTGTCCCACTCACCCTATGAATCATAATCCACCATCTGGAACGAGAACACCAGTGAGCATTTAACATAGCCGCCACTGCACAGCACCCCCTCCAGCCTACAATCACCACAACCCCAGTCATCGCGGCTAACCATGACTCTAACAACCCAACTCAAGTTTACTTTGAGTACATTAGGGAGCATCAAGATTAGTGTCTGGGGTCTCTGTTTGTCTGTAGTACTTGGATTCTTTTGTATTCTAGGCCTGGTCTTTTCAAGAAACATCTCCTTTTGGCTATCCCTTATGCCTGCTGAATGCAATAACCGTGCCAGAAACAACAATGCGAATCTCTCTGATCTGTGCCATCGCCCTTTGGCTCCTAGGCCTAACAATTCTCCAATGAATGGTCCCCAAAGAGTGGTGACACCTTACCCTTCCCACCATCAAACCTTAGAAGAGCGTTTCACAGCTGGAATAATAGAGATGTCAGTCCCTAGGCATCCTATTATAAGCTTCCCTCCTCAACAAGAGTCTGATGACTCTTCTCTAGAATTCCTTGATGAAGGCGGTTTCTGTTATCCCTTTTCATCTCCCCTGCCAAACGTCACTTGCCGGCCCTTTCTCATCCCAGAACCGTTGGACTCTTCCAATAGCGATGCCATAGTCTTGCATCAATTCCCTGGACCCCTGGAAGTTTCTCAGGCCTCAGAAGCAACCCCCGGGTCCTACCACATTGCCCCTGCACAGGTATTCCCATCCTTGTCACCTATGAATACCTCATCCTCTCCCAATCCTGATAGTCCCTGTACTGCCTCCACTGATTCCCCCAGTATGCCGCCCCTTGCCTCAGACGTCTCTGACAATGGTAGCCTTGACCACACCCCCAATCTATGGTTACTAGCAGACATCAGTAATTATATTACCGTGTCAGAAGGATACAGCAGCAATCCTCAGGAATTTGTGGTCTACAGTGATGATGTAATCCAATGACCTTCTAACAACGTCACTCGATACTGGCAATCTATCCCCTTTGACACCTCCACCCCTGTTCAAGATGTCAACCCTCTGGAACGTGTATTACCTCACTTTCCTTGAGCATATGCCACCACAGTTACTCGACCTCCTATGGGCATTCCTATCAATGGAAATCCGGCATTTGGGTTACAATGGGTTTCAACAACCGCAGCAGACATACTCTGGACTGCAGAACCTGTGGGGAATTGGAACCAATCAGACAAAGAGTGGGAGGAGGATACTTGGGAATACTTGCTGACACAGGATGACAATCTGTTGGAAAGCCTTTGGGCATTGCTACAGGACATCAAGGATCTCGGGGTAACTGATAAAGTTGACCGCTTCAGGGCTGTTGACACCAAAATCGACTTACTACTGGCAGTGCTGTTGAATGAATAGTGAATGCACCTACAAGTTCTATGTACAGAACTGCTACAAACGGTTAATAGACACTGTAGATTAGTTGATCTAATCTTATCTATATCTTATCTAGACACA